CGCGACTTTGTGGGGGGGGGGGGGGGGGGGTTCGAAGCCATACACACACACACAGCTACTGCAGGCACGAGCATGCACAGGTGCCTCCACAGCAGCTGCTTAGCTGATGGCAGCCCCCGTGCAGGGGGATGAGCGCTGCGGCACCCACTAGAAAACGAGAAACAGAAATTTTTTGAAGAAAAAGAACAGCAGATTTATAAAAAGGTGGGCCTCCAGAGAGAGCTCCTGGCCGGCCGTTTTTTTACTACGGCCGGCCCGGAGGTAGTTAAAAGCCCCCAAAAACCAAAGTTTTTACATCACTTTAGCTTAACTTGATATATGTAATAAAAGGGGTATTTTTAAAAAGAGAAGCCAAGTATTTGTCATAGCTGGCCACACTTGTGTACAGTCAAACCAAGATATGGCCGCCATCACACAGCTGAACTACACTTGTCCTGTATGCTTATTCTATATACCACTAGATGTCTTGGTCGGTGTGCTTATCAGGATAGAAACAAGGCAACCAGCTGCATGCTTCAAAGCCATAATCCACATCCTTACTTCATTACTTTATTACCTGGAACAAGTACATAGGTCAGAGGATATAACTGCATACTTGGTTCAGAATAATAACTTGTTAAGTAGTAAAGCAAGGATGAGAGACCTGGAACTAGTACAACTCTGCCTGAGACCTTGTTCACACCAAGCGCGGAGCAGAGCAGTTACAGACTGGAGCAAAACTGCGTTTAATGTATTCCAATGGTATTTTTAGCTCCAGTTCACATTGCAGCGTGCAGTTCCAGAGCAGGTAAAAAAACTGCAGCAGGCCCTATTTTACCTGCTCTGGAACGCATGCAAACGCATCAAAAACGCCTGGAACGCACTGAATGCTCATTTTAACTGCTTGAAGACCAGGTCTCGGGGCTTCATACAAGCACGTCTCGGGGCTTCATACAAGCGATCCGCCGGCTCTATAGCCGGCGGATCGCTTGTATATTAACGGGCATCGCTGCCTCTTTTCAAATAGCGGCGCGCCCGAGCGGGCGGATGTAACAGGACGTGTATACACGCCCAGTTACATCCAAGAAGCTCCCGGCAGGCCGTGAATACACAGCGGCTGGCCGGGAGGTAGTTAAACAAAAAAATTAAAAAATTATTTTTTACCAAAAACGTCCCGGAACGCATCAAAAACGCGGCACAGCCCACTGCACTGCATGTGCAGAAACCTGATCAGATCTGCTCTGCATTTGGTGTGAACAAGGCCTAAAACAATGTGTTTTTTGTTTTGTTTTCATGAATACAGAGGCTAAGGCGTAGAATGTGTCAAATTTAAACTACTGTTTGTGTCTCCAACGGGCAGCATCACCTTTCACTTCCGGTCCAGGGGATGGAACAGGAAGTGAAAGAAAGCCTCCCTTAAATGAGGGGAAAACACACTTTTGATGTGTCAAAAGAACAAGGGTCCAGGCCCAGTGACCGGTGTTACCAAGACAGAAGATATTTCCAAAAGGGGCACATACATCAATTTAAAAAAAAAAAAGTTTCAAAAGGTTTTGTTAAAAAAAAAGTTTCAAAAGGTTTTGTTAAAAAAAAAGTCAAGAAAACAGTAGTCCCTGGCATAGGAGTGCCACAAAATAGGAATTATGACTTGCATGTAAATCCCTTTTCTTGCAGTATAGTACAGGACACAGGACTCACCCCTCTAACTCCCAGTAAGCCTCATTTTTTTTTTTTTACCAAGCTGTACTGTGGTCCCAAATAAAAAAGGAATTTCCAGGGCAAGTCAAAATTCTTACTCTCTTAATTGTACAGTACAGGACACAGGACTTAGATCAGGGGTCTCAAACTCAATTTACTCAGGGGCCACTGGACACATTTTTTTAGTCCCGTTGAGGCCCCTTGCCAAATGTCATACTTTGAAATAAAAATTAACTGTATACGGTACCAGTGTTAATGTCTGCGCATGTTACAAGCGGTTTCAAGCGCCAACTGTCACCCATTCAAGTTAATTAGGTGACAGCTGCTGCATGTAAACGCCTGCACACTGCATTTAATGGTATGTGATACGATTACATGCAATTAGGAATCAATCACTATTCCTGGATGCACGACCAATGCATACAGGTATAGTGATTGTCCTCTAACTGCATGTAATCATATCACATACCATTACATGCGGTGTGCAGGCGTTTACATGCAGCAGCTGTCACCTGATCATTAACTTGAATTGGTGACAGCTGCCACTTGTAAACGGTAGATTAGGGATTCCAGCTACAGGACAAAAACGAATTCCTATATATGTATATATATATACACACACATACACACACGCATACATACATATACACACTAATATACACAATAATCAATAATACACTCCCCAATATTCGCCCTAGAATAAATGCTCACACTCCGGCATGTGCAGCTATATCTAGCAAGTGTGCCGCAATTGTTTGCATTAGTATGTGTGTATGTGGGGGTGAAGGACTTTAAATGACTTTTTTGTGGTGTTTTTACATTTTCGCAAGCCCGTGGAAGTGAGCTGACAATCACTTTACACATGTAAACAGACTTCTGATTGGAATCTACATACAGGGGCCCACTGCTGCTGACATATGGCATACATCAGTGGCAGCGAAAGGGTTAAAGATAAAATAACAAAACCATCTTTTGCTGCAGTATTCACTTTTAAAGAATAGACCTGTCCCAGCCTGTGTTTAGACAGTGAAA